CCGCTCGGCCTCGTCCCAAGGCCACCGGCCGGCCCTGACTCCTTGAGGACCGGTGGGCGGGCCAGGGGAGCCGGCTCTGGACGTCCGGGCAAACAGGAAACCAGACAAAGGCGGCCGCTTATCGCCCTCCCCCCATCCCGCATTCCTTTCAGGTGATGCCCGCGGGCCTCGGGGACGCGGGGCCGCCGGAGGGGCTGCCAGGGCCCCTGGAGGAGGACCAGTCCGAGCCAGCACCAGGTGATGGGTGACCTAGGTGATGGGTAGCACAGTGACAAGGCCACCTCTGCCTCTGGCCTGTCGGGGGTCTGGGTGCAGTGAAGTCCTGTAGTGCCCCCACCCAGGAAGAGACATCAGGTGGCACCTGCCTGTCCCTGGAAAGTCGGGGTCAGCCTGGGCTGGGTGCTGCTCTGCGTCTTGCAGTGGTCTTGGCTCTTCGATGCTCCTTGAGATTTGCAGGGAGGTCTGCAAACAGGACTTGGGCAGAAAGTGAAGATTTCTAGCAAGTAAGTTTGTTGGGGACAGACATAGTATATCCTAGACAGGGCTGACTTTTGTAAGAGTAAGGACAGTACCCTTGGGGGAGCTGTAAGTGGGCAGAGTAGAGGTGGCAACTGTCAGTAATGAATATTCATCCTTAAGAAGGAGGGTGAGACTTCACGGAGGTCCAGGGTTTGCTTTTCTAGAATGGGGAAGGGAGGGTAGCAGAGATGATAATTTCTTTCCAATCAGCTGTGAGTCTCCTCCCCCAGGTCCAGAAGGGGAGTATTTTGCACTTATATGGTCTTAATATGAACAGGTGTGCTGGCCAAAGCTCATTAGGGGAGTCATTTAATGCAAATATATGTAAATGAGGCCTAATCAGGTAAACGCATCACCATTGTCCAACTTGGGGCTTATGCCTCTAGATGTGACTGTGTGGTTATTAAAAAGGTAAGACTGAAGCCAGGGATTTAGATTAGTGGTGCCACTGCCTGCATCGCAAGCACAAATTCCTGAGTTCGATCTCCAGTACCAAAAAATAAAAAAAAATGTAAGACTGAACAAGTCAGGGAATTTGCAAGGTGGCTTCTTTTCCAGAAGCTTGGGAGTTGAAAACTCAGGAAATCTAGACCATGGCCTTTCTTAGAATCCTGTCTTAGGGCCCTGCTGCTGGTCTCGCAGCTACAGCTCACTACTGGCCGACTATCTGCTCTCATGCCTACAGGAATGGGGCTGCTAAATCAGTGGAGGGAAACAGGTAGAAAAAGTGGGTTGGAGTTACCCAGCCGTTCCACAAACTGGAATGCCACTGTATAGCAGGGTAACCCGTATTTGTGTCAGGGCCCACTGAGGAACCAGACCCACCCCGCCCTCAAGGAACTTCCGCCCAGTGGGGAAGTAGGCAGACATCCAGATAAGCAAAATACGGGTGAGAGGACAAGCACCAGATGGGCTGCAGGAGGTGGTGTCTGACCTGTGCTGGGCAGTTTGGGCTGCTTTGGGGGATCGTAGGTCCATTAGACAGTACCTGGCATATGTGTAGCTCTCCACAGGTACTGTCTGTGTGAGGAAATGCTGGAGCTGGCTTTGACACGGAAGGGCAGGGGTGGTTGGTTCGGAACGGTGTCTGGATGGGGAAACGCATATGCAGATGCCTGCTGGTCTGCCTGTGTCCTGACCATCTCAGGAGCTACCTGGGCACTGGGTAGGTCCTGAGGGTTATGAAAGCCAGGCTGAGGTCCTGGGGCTGACAGGCGAGGTGGGAAGAGGGCTCTTGGGCAGCCTAACTTGGCCCAGAAGAAGGGGAAGTTGAGAGCCCTTCGCCTGGGTGGCTCGGAGAGGCTGATCTGCAGACCAAGGTCCCAGCACTGTTGGGTGGTGCCCCCCTTGCCTTCTGGGCCCTGGTGCCGCTTCTGCTGATTGGTGGATTGGCTGCCCCTTTGCGCAGCTGAGTCAGCGTCTGAAAGTTGGTTCCCACGGCCTACATTTCTCTGGGGGCCAAAGGCCATGCCATCTCTGCCCCGCCTCCAAATGGGTCTGGGCCCTGGGAGCTGACAGTCAGGACTGGGTGGAGGCTAAGAGTTTTAGTCCACCCACCCCCACCCACCAGGGACCCGGCGTTCCTTTCATGCCACCCCAATTCTGGCCTAGTCCTCCGATCCTGGAGGGTTCAAGATACTGTAGTTATCAATACTTTGATTTTATTTAAAACAGTGAAAAGAAAAATAAATATCTCTGAAGAATAAGAATACAGGAGTGGGGTGAGGAAGTGGCCCTGGAGCTTGGGGGTGCCTAGCTTCTGTGGTCTTTGGCTGCGGGGCCAGAGGGCTGGGATCTGCAGGCCCCTCCTCCCTGGGCAGGCTCTGCTGCATCCTCCCGGGAAATCTGGGCCTTGCCTGCCCTGCTCCCAGGCCCAACTCCCAGGCCGGCGCTGTGTCAGCTGATCTGTAGGACTAGAGCCCGAGGCGCCGCCCGCGCCCCAGGCTCTGTCTGGCCCCTGAGCACCGCCCCTGGGGGCTCATCCACGCTGCTCTCCCCTGAGACCCCGGGCCAGGCCTGGCTTGGCCTCGATGCCCGAGACATCAGCGATGAGCTATGTCCTCCATGCCCACACGGCCCCAGACGCCCAGCACAAAACTTTCGATGTCACACTCGTTGCTGCCGCGCAGGATGCGGAAGTGGCCCCTCTCACCCCAGGATGGGCCCCAGGAGTTGGCCGCCGTCTGGGAATGAAGAGGGGTCCGTGAGAAAGGGAATGGGAGCGAGGCAAGGGCAAGAAGACAAGGGGCGGGCTCCAGGGTGCCGGGCACTCACCCAGTATTTGAGCGTCCTTCCGTCAGGCAGTGTCTCCTCCCCCCACCTGGGGGCGGAGAGTGGGGAGAGGGAGATGCTGATTGCACTGCTGGGGTGGGGGACGCGGAGGCGCCCCCTGCAGGCCTGTTGCTTTTGGAAACTTGGGTGCACCCTGGGTCTGAGCCAGTCTATCCCTCTGTGTTCCGCCTCGGTCCCCACCACTAAATCTGTGTACCTGAGCTCGCAGGGAGTGTAGGGAGGGGCAAGCAAAAGAGGAGGGATCTCGGGCCTGGTTCTACCGGGACTCACACGCTGGGATCAGTTCTGTGGGATTTCACACATCTGTCTGCCCTCTCTCACTTGGGGAGCTGGGGCACATGGGCGCTAGTGACCAGAGGGAAAGGACCCAGCAAGTGTGGGTGCCTTAGAGACCCCAAACTCCCACTGCAGAGCACATCTTAGTGGTTGGACTTATTGGCTACTAGTATTAGTCAGCAAACAACTAACAACTCAATGAGTCTAACATCTGCTGTATCCAGAGCACCCGAGGGCCAGGAGTGACCAGCCCAGGTCACTCAGTGAGTACGCCAGAATCGGGTCAGGTACCAAGATGGGGAGAGGTTAAGCAACTCTTGGATCCTTGTCTCATTCTCTGGAGTTATTTGTCCCGCGACTCCTAGAAGCCCTTCAAAAGTTTTCCATTCACGATGTGACCTAGAGCCAAGCCCTCTTCTCTCAGAGTCTTAGTTTCCTCCTTTGGAAATAAGGAAGTAGTCCTGGCTTTGCAGAGATCGCAAAGATTCAGAGCAGGCTTCAGTGTCCCCAGTGCACCCCCTACTGCCCCCACCCTCTGTCCACAAGCCCCTTACCCTGTGATCTTGACCGAGTGGGTCCCGTGTCGCTGGTACTGCTCTGGCCTCCCCGCACTCACGGGTGTGTGGCTGTAGATGCCGCTCTGATACAGGAAGAAATCCTCATACACCTCCAGGAGTGCTTGGGGCAGAGACCAGGGTAGGGTGTACTCAGCCAAGCCTGTGGCCCTGTGGCTGAGTGCCAGAGTCTCACCCTTGTGACTCTAAGTATCCCCTCCTAGAGCTGCCTGCAGGGAGGGGACGTGGTCCCCATACTCCCAGCCCCAGTGGGCTTGCTGCTTAATACTGTATAGACCGTGTGGGCCACTGTGCCCAGCTCAAACAGACACAGGCTTCTGGAGCCAGGGGCAGGACAAGGGGCATTTACCTTGGACAGGACCATTCTCCATCAGCTCCTTCATAATCTCCTTCTCCTGAGGGTGGGAGAAGAGCAGGAGAGCATCCATTGAGGGTGGGAACTCCAGCCTTTGGTCAGCCCCCCACCTTCTGTTTCTCTCCCTTGCCCATGTGCAAACTTACATCAGAACCCAGGCGGTAGGCAGGAGTGACCTGGTAGATGTCATTGGCATCATCGCGACTATTGGGGCAGTGGTGAGTGGCCTGGCGCTTACCCCGGCCCATGGCCCGGCTGTGCATCATGCAGGGGGGTGCCGGGCCAGCCTCGGCCTGCTCACGGCCCGAGAATGGATAGCAGTGGTCAGATACAACCCTGGGGAGGCAGCAGAAGGGAGCATGGATGGTGACGTGGAGCCACGTAGCCCAAGCACTGCCCAAGGGGTGTCCCCACCCACACCCTCTGCACATACCCTCGACGGCGCAGGAACCACCAGGCACCATCGAGGTGCCCACCACGGCAGCCCCGCTGGTGGTGGGTGTTACAAGACAGCAGGTTCTGGGGGGACAGGACGGGCGTCATGTGTCCCATAGAGTGGATTGAGACTCGATCAGATGCCACCGCTAGTATGGGAACAGAGGGGCTGTCAGGGACTGGGCTTTAGCTCTCTTCCCATCTTGTGCTAGCCCAGCCCCAGACACACCTGCTGTGGAGAAGGCCCAGGAGCCTGCACAGTTGCCCTGGTCAAGCGGCTCGTGGATCATGTTGGGCCACTTCTTAGAAGCCTCAAAGGTCGTGGGCAGAACCTCCCCTGGGGCCAGCACTGTCTGCAAGGCAAAAATGGCCCTGACTGCCTCCTGCCCTGGCCTGGCCTGCCTTTCAGAAGCCCAGGCATTGGTGGGCCCCTGTGAGTCCAGGGCCTTCCGCAGCTGGATCTGCAGCCTGCTTGCTGCTGTGGGGTCCCAGCTACCTCCAACTTGGATGTGAATGGAAGAACCAAGACCATTTAGTGCTTCTCAGGTATCAAGCAGGCGGTGACTGGTTCCTGAAGCCAGGAACGTGGATGTGGCCAACCCAGGGTCACCCGCTTTCCATTCTCAACCCTGGCCTCCTTCCTATGCACCTTCTGATCTGTCACACCCTCCTTCCCACCACGGCCTTGGCCTCTAGGTCCCAAAGGGCAGGGTAGGGAAAAAGCAGTAAAGTCCCGTGACCAGGCAGGCAGGTTGCCAAGACAAACACCAGGAGGCAGAAAATAGCCAAAGGCCCAGGGGAGTAAGGGCAGGGCCAGGGGCTGGTCACCCTGGCCTTGGGCAGAAGTTCTTCCATGGCGAGGGCCAGCCATTGTCTCTCTCCTGGCTGCCACTGATGGGCAGATCCTCCATCATGTACCCCTCTACCCCTCTGGGTCCCGTTAGTGGGAAGGGAGAAGCCCCGGCCTCCCTGGGGATTCCGATGAGTCGGCATTTGTCCCAAGAATTGCTGCTCTTTGGTCAGAGCTGGAAGAGTATCTGTCTCTTCTTTCCTAAAATATGAAGGTGACCTCCTGGCTCCTTGGGCCCTGACCCAACTGCACTGGGACTAACAGCATTTTTCCCATGCTGAGGAGGGAGGATTACTGCTGGGGTTACTATACAACTCAGAATCCGAGCTCAGCATTTAGTGAGCCATTTCTTAGTAGAGAGAGGAAACAAAAGCCCAGAGGGGAGTGATCTGCCCAGGGACACACAGTGTCTTGGTAGGGGACAGCAACCCTAAGGTCCTAAGTACAAGGAGATGTGGGCAAGGGTGGGCTTACATAAATCTCATTCATGTTCATGACGGAGGAAGATGGGCGCATGGTGCCCAGGCGGTAGCGAATTCCCTCGTCCAGTGTCATGCCCCAGAAGGCGCTGTGGTTCCCCGCCTGCCACCTGAAGAAGAAGGGATGGGGGCGTGAGAGGCCTGCCAAGGAATCCTGGGGCTACGTGGGAGCGTGGTGTGCATCTTGGGCGTAACCCACGCACATGCGCACACATATCTGCTGTGCGTACGGCCAGGGCGTCTCACCCGTAGTTGCCCTGGTTGATGGTGGCAATCATGGCTGGGTCCACTAGGCATGGCTCCTGGTCACACTCCCACTGCCCTTTCTCCTGACAGGTGCTGGCGAGAAAGGAAGGAAGGAAAGCTTGAGCCGGGCCTGGGAACACTCAGAACTGTCAAAGCCTCGGAGGTTAACATGGGCCTAGGATTCTGTACCAGCAACTATGGATACAGAATCTTCTCCACTGCCCCAGCCTGATGGCTTTAAATGTCAACTTCAGGCTCATGATTTCCCCCTCCCCTCATCTGCCTGGACCTCCTCCTGAACTCCCAAGGTCAAGGATCATGCTGGTACTCAACATCACTACGGGAGTATCTAACACCAGATCAGGCGTAACGCGCCCCAAACAGAATTCCTATCTCCCTTACTGGGGTTCTCATAAAATGGCAACTCCATCCTTCCTGGGGCTCAGACCAGAAACCTGTGAGTTGCCCTTGACTTTCTCTCACAGGCTGCACCAGCCATGGGCACATCCACTTGGATCTACCTTAAAAACATATCCAGAATCCAAACCATATCTCATTCTCTCCTGCAGCCACTGCAGTCCAGTCCCTTTTCAACCTGAAGTTCTCAGTCACCCACTGTCACCCCAGTATATTTTTAATATAGCTGCCAGTGTGATCCTACTAGACCTAAGCCATACCGTGGCATTCCTTTGCACAAAACTCTCCATTGGTTTTAAGTCACAGAATAAGAGCCAAAGTCCCGAAGTGATGTCAAGCCCTTCAGGATCTGTCCTTCTAGTCCCTCTTGGACTGACCTCCTCCTATTCCTCGATTTTTTCCCAGTACTGAGGATCAAACCCAGAACCATCACACTGAGCTACACCTCCAGCCCTTTTTTTTTTTTACTTTTTATTTTGAGACAAGGTCTCAGTAAATTGCCCAGGCTGTGCTTGAACTTGCTATCCTCCTTGCCTCAGCCTCCCAGAGTACTGGATTAAAGGCTTATACCATGCCTGGCTATAGTCCTGGATTCTGAGGCTGCAGGGAGGCTGATTGTTCTCACTAGCTGTATTACTGCCCCAGGGCCTTTGAACTGCTCTACCTCCCACATCCATCTGGCTCACTTCCATTCCTTCCAAGCGTTCCTTCAAATTTCACCTTTTCCAGGAAGCGTCCTCTGGCCAGCAACCTCATCCTTTATGTCTCATTTTCCTGTCATCATGGTTTCCTTACTGTGTTGTCCCTAACCCCGGCCCCCCTACTCTTCAGACTCATATCCAGCTGACCCCCTGGCACCTCTGGGCAGGTAAAATAGTCTCACATTGGAAATAGTCACATGGGGCTGGGGATTTAGCACAGTGGTGCCACCACCTGCCTTGCAAGCACAAGGACCCAAGTTCAATCCCCAGGACCAAAATAATAAATAAATAACATAAAATAGTCACACAGCCTTCCCCAGCCTGCTCCTCCCTGCATCCTCAGCTCAGAACACAGCACCCAGCTATTCAGATCTGAGAGCCACAGGGCTGTGATATGCCCCGCAAGTCCCCCATCAGCAGGACCTGGGTATGGTATGTCGTGAACCCATCTTCCTCTCCCCCTTCCCCTGCCAGCGTCCCTCTCCAGGCCCCCTTCACCTCTCCCCTGGACAAGGACAGTACTTCCTGGTCAGATCTCTCTCTCTCATCCCCCCACTACACTCAACGACCTACCCCCCACCTACCCTAAAGCCACACAGCTCAGTGAACAATGTCAGCCAGATCACAGACCCCGACAGCCTATGACACACGGCTGCACCTCCTCCACGCCTTCCCCAGCTTCTCTGCACTCTCAGCCCCACTGAAATGATCCCGGCCTCCCAAAAGCTGTGCCCTTGCCCCTATTATACCCTGCCTTCTACTCACTCCTACATATCAGCCTAAGTGTCCCATCCCCAGAGTGGTCTCCCCTCTTCCTGTGGTCCCCTCTCCACTCTAAACCGGGATCGGCCTTGTCTTTTCTTTCCCCCATAACACTGCAACAGCCTGTTACGATATATCTGTGATGTTTCCATGTCCTTCATCATTAAACTAGAAGTTCCCGTTGGACCAGGACTGTGTCTGTTGCATTCTGGCTGCACCTCCGGGGCCCAGCACAGTGCCTCAGATGCAGTAGGACTTTAATAATTAGGCCTTGGCCGAAGGGTTGAATTCTAAGCATTCTGTGAGCTTTTACAAGCTCATAACTCTGCTATTACAAGATGCTAAACTGTTTCCTTCCAGGACAGCCTGAGGCACCCGCCTCCAACCTCGCCTTATAAGGTGTCTCAAGGAGAGCCAAACCCCAGTATGGCTGGCTCTCCAGCCCCAAGCAAGCGGGTGACCCGCTCAGGGAGGGCGGGACGTGGGGGGGCAGCATCCCTAGAGTGCGCACATAACTGCATGATGCACAGCCTCTCTCAGGTGTGGGTTGCAGGAAGAGCAGCCATGGAGCTGTTCGGAGGGGTGGGCAGGGTTGGTCAGTGCTTTCTGGTCCCCAGCTCCTATGCCCCAGGGCTTCCTGAGCAGGTCAAGACAGGACTGGTGGCAGCAGGTCCCAGCATTCCAGAAGGGGCCAGGGACAGGAGCTGGAGGGGGTGTTAACCCCTCAGTATCCACCCTGTCAGGACTTGCAAGAGCCTGCGGGCTCACCCCACCCTTCTGGACCCACGTACACTGCACATGCACAACTCTCACCCTGACACAGGCCACCCTGCACGCACGTGTCCCCACACTCACTGTGACCCAGGCAGCCCTTGGCCCAGTGAGGCAATGGAAACAGCTATGGCAATGCATTCCAAAAAGTTTCCTTCTCCCTGGAGCCTCTCCATCCCAGGCAGGGGTGCGGTGGAGTGGGTGCAGGGCCTCCTCCTCCAAGTCATGGGGACCCCAATATTTTTGGCCTTCAGCTGGCTGCCCAGCCTTTCCCCACCTCCCATCTCAGACTGAGTGTGGAAGGCACCCCTGGCCTCTCCCTCCTCCTGCCAGGAATGGTGGGGAGCACTGGGGAAGGGGGGCCACATTCCAGGGAAGGCCCTGCTACAGGCTGGCCGGCTGCCAGCTCAGGATCCCTGACCCTTGTCGGGCCCAGGGCAGCGGATGCTGCAGTCAGAGATTTCCTTCCTGGCGTCCCCTTCTCTGACTCTCCCGTGACAGCAAGAACAGTCAGGAGGGGCAGCAGCGGGGAGGCGAGGAGGACTCCCAGCTCCGAGGTGGAATCTGCCTGGGGCAGCCACGCTGGCCCCTCCCAGGAATGTTACCAGAACACTGCTGTACAAGCTGGCACACTCAGTGTGAAAATTCCCGTGTAAGAGATGAGGAAACTGAGGCTCACAGAGGAGAACGGACCTGTTTCGAGGAAATGAGTGGCAGGGAGAGGATTTGAGCCAAGACTGTTGGCCAGGAGGCCCATCCTGAGAGCCCCTTCATGCCCCAGACACTCACCAACGGTTACAGTTGTCCCAGTACGTCCCAAAGACTGGGTAGATGCGACCACTGTGCATACACCCTGGTGGGAGGGAAAAGGACAGGAAGTGGGACCAGCCTGGACACGATGGGCTGGAATGGCCAGGTCCTCAGCAACCAGGGACTCCAGGCCCTCCCAAAGTCACCTCAGTCACATGCACATCGTTAACACTTATTGAAACTAAAGCCAAGCTATAACTGAAGCCTTCTCCTGCAGTCTCACGCACCGACTGCTCCAAGTTATTCAGTGACTCCAACTTGGATGCCTCATGCTTCACTTGGATGCCAGCCACAGCATTCCTGGAATCCTTTGCCACTTGAATGAGTCTGGGCTTGGATAAGGGCATGGAAGGGGCATGGGAAGCTGAGGCTCAGAGAAGGTAAGTGACTTCCTTAAAATAGCACAGCACTTTGACTATGCAGTCCCCGAGCACATAACAATGGGAGGGATTACAGTGCTTCTTTTATTGGACAGAGGCAGGTGCTCGGAGAAGACTATAGTGAAGGTGATTAGAACCACCTTCCAGATATGACCCATCCCAGGACACTGAATCCTAAACAGAGGCCAAAGAGTGGCTAAGATGTCCCAGCCAACCCCTGTGTGTTTTCAGTCCAAGGGTGAGTCTACAGGCGGGACCAGCACCTTCTACATCCGGAATGGAGACAGGACAGGAGAAAGGGCAGGAGGCTGGCTGCCTTCCCTCTGGGCCAACCTAGAACCCAACCAAGGATCTCCTCTTTCAGTTTTGCTGGGGAGAGAGGCACGTTAGACCACAGGGAGCCTTCTCAGGAGTGTGGCAGGGTCTCTCTCCCAGAGTCTACAAAGCCTCCCCGGAAATGCCCATGTGTCAACCTTGCTCGGGCACCTGGCTGAGCCTGGGGTTGACAAGGTGAGCTTCCCTCCTGGCCAACTTGGTGCCTACCTTGGACTGGGGGAAAAGGGGGTGGCACACCAAGGCAGAAGTCCCAGAAGTCGGGGCAGCAATCGGAGACAGTACGGTTGCAGAAGAGGTCACAGTAACAGGCAACTCCCAGGTAGGGCAGGGAGCAGTCATCAACGCGGCCATTGCAGCACATGTCCTGCTTCTGGCAGTATGAGCCTCTTGCATCCCGGATGCCACTCAGGTGCAGCCCTGGTGCCAGCTCCCGGCGCCAGCGACTCCGCCGGGCAGCCAGGGCTACCTGGCCAGCCAGCAGAGACAACAGCAGCAGCCCCAGTGGACATCGCCACATGGTGCCTCCTGGGCCCCGGAGGGAGGTCAGCAGTCAGAGGTGGTGGGCATCAGAGACTCCCTGGCACACCAAGACAGACCTCCCCACTTCCTGGAGCTGGGAACCCATGGGGTCCAGCGTCATGGGAGGGCTTGCTACCTGAGCCCCCAGCAGGACCCAGTACAGGAGCTGCATTCTGTGTGCCCTGGCTTCTAAGGAGAGGGAACTGAGCAAGAAACAGAGTCAGTCCCTCCTGACCTGTGGGACAGCCACGGAAATGGGGGCTGCGGCATTCTTGGGGCCCCTGCCCAGTACCCATCCTTCAGACCAAGGTCTTCTCTCCCGTACCAGGTCCTTCCGGTCCTCTTTCACCCGTGTTCTTAAATTTTTGACTTCATAACCCGTCTCCCAGCCACCTCCTGACCAGTCCTCCCGTCTCCTCCACTCCTGCTTGTCTCGGTGTCCCTCTGCCCCGCTCCACTGTGCCTCTCTGGCACCAGTCTTGGTGCCTCTGCCTGCCCCCTCCTCCCTTCGCTCCCTAGATGTCAACACCCTCTGCCCTCTGAGCCGGGAGCGTCCCTACCTGGAGAGGGTGTGGGCTGGGCCCAGGGTGCCCTCCGCCTCCTGGCTCTGGGACTGCCTGCCGGACACAAAGTCAAGCGAGGAGCACGG